TGGATCTCATTTCCCTAACCCTGAATATGCAGAGTTGAGAAGGATATGGAAGGAGAGGCTGATAAAACACCAAGGCAGACATAGGCTGCCAAAACGCAGAAAAACAAAAATGATTGTCTGTACTTTCAATGCTCGTACGCTGGCATCTGCTGCATCCATTGAAGACCTTATGATACAAGCGCGAAAGATCAAGTACGACATTATTGGTCTGACCGAAACGAGAAGACATCAATCCCATCATGCTGTTTTCGACACTGGAGAAGAACTGTTCCTTGGAACATGTGATAAAAGAGGCGTCGGTGGTGTCGGTATCCTTGTCAACACAAACTTAGTCACGAGCATTGATTCATTCAAATGCCTAACAACCCGAATTGGACGATTACACTTGAATAAATGTGGCTCACTACCGGCAGTTTCTATCTTTGTTGTCTATGCACCAACATCCAGTTATGGTGAAAGAGAAACTGAGAAATTCTACATGGAGCTGGAGAAGTTCTATAAAGAAGATCACACCTTCTACAAGATCATTGTCGGTGATTTTAATGCCAAGATAGGACCAAGAAGATCAGTCGATGAACTCCACATCGGAACCCATGGCCTGGAATGGAACGAACAGGGTGACAGACTGTCTGAGTTCCTCATGTCAACCAAAACCTTCCATGGTAACTCACAATTCCAAAAGACTGAATCTAAACGTTGGACATGGGAGTCTCCCGATGGACGGTTCCACAATGAAATAGACCACATCATATTCAATCGGCGGTTTTGCCTAACTGATGTTGCTGTTGTCTCAAAATTCCAAACGGGATTAGACCACCGTCTTCTTCGTGCAAAATTCTACCTCACAGAACGAGGAGAAAAGAATGCAAGGTTTAAGAAGAGGACTCCCAGAAAAACCACCAACTGGGAGCTCTTTGGCTCTGTTGCGGCAACATGGGAAGATGCCATCATTGACAACATTGATGAGGAATACGATAGAATGATTCAGCACCTCCATGATTGTGCAAGGAATGCCAAGAGAGAGATAACCACAAAAAACCGTCTTTCTTCGAACACTCTTGAACTTATTTGCCAACGTGCCTTGGCACATGCCTCAGGCAACCACAAGCGAACATCCAAACTGGCAAAACAGTGCAGAGAAGCCATCAAGGATGACCTCAAAAACAGGAGAGCAGCAGTACTGGTAGATGCAGCAGAAGCTGGGAAAAACATTCGTAATGCCCGCCTGTCCTTCACCAACTACAAAACCAAGATGACTGCCCTCCTACATCATGATGGATCTATCACATCTTCCAGAAGGGCAATGGAGAAGATTATTCATGACTTCTACTCAGATCTCTTTAATAGCCACATCCACTTGCCCACATACCACATACCACATGATGGATATGTCGTTCCCAATGTTCTCCCTTCCGAAATCCAACATGCCATCTCATTGGTAAAGAAACAAAGAGCACCTGGCCCAGACAAGATCAGACCTGAACACCTGAAGAACTTACCATCAGTACTCATCAATACATTGGCTCGACTCTTCACACGCTACCTGTCTGAATGCAAGGTTCCATCCCAATGGAAAACCAGCAGGACTGTACTACTATACAAGAAAGGAGACATCCACGACATTGGCAACTATCGCCCAATCTGCCTATTGTCTGTCATCTACAAACTATTCACTCGAGTCATCCTGAATAGGATTAGCAGAACACTAGATGAAGGACAACCATGTGAACAAGCTGGATTCCGAAAAGGATTCAGTACCATCGACCATACCCACACAATAACCAAGCTCATTGAGGTATCTCGGGAGTTCAAGATGCCGCTCTGTGTAACGTTCATTGATTTAAAGAAGGCCTTTGATTCTGTTGAGACGGAAGCGGTCATGGAAGCCCTAGCCAATCAGGGCGTACAAACTCAATACATCAGGATCCTTCGTGAGCTTTATTGCGGATTCACTACCAAGATCTCACCATTCTACAAAGAAGTAATCATCCATATCAAGAGAGGGGTTCGGCAGGGTGATACCATTTCACCAAAACTCTTCAGTACCACCCTCGAGAACATCATGCGATGACTGGAATGGGAAAACATGGGAGTGAAGATAGATGGTCGGCAACTACACCACCTCCGCTTTGCTGATGACATCGTTCTAATAACACCAAACATCAGCCAAGCGGCATAAATGCTGAACGACTTTGACCGTGAATGTGGAAAGGTCGGACTACAGCTGAATGTTACAAAGACAATGTTTATGAGAAACAGCCTTGTTCCTGACGCTCTATTCGCTCTCAACGGAACTACCATCTCCGAATGCAACAGTTATATATACCTAGGTCGAGAAATCAACATGATGAATGACCTGGCACCTGAGTTGCGCAGGAGGAAGAGAGCGGCTTGGAATGCCTTCAAGAGCATTGAAGAAATAACTAAAAGGACAAAGAACCTCCAGCTACGAGCACATCTCTTTGATTCCACTATTCTTCCTGCATTAACATATGCCTCAGAGACCTGGACCCTACGAAAACAGGATGAGAATGCTATTCGGGTCTCTCAAAGAGGAATCGAAAGAACTATGCTTGGAATATCACGATTCACTCAAATGAGAGATAGAATCCGGAGTTCTGATCTTCGTCAACGCTCAAGAATCAGGGACGCTGTCTCATTTGCCAAGACATCAAAAATCAGATGGGCTGGACACGTAATGAGGTTTACAGACAACCGCTGGACTAGAGCCATTACTGATTGGATTCCACGGGACATCAAAAGATCACGTGGACGCCTACCTATAAGATGGTCAGACTTCTTCGTCAAGACCCTAAATGATCGGTTTGAGGCTCTGCATGTTCCTAGAACGAACAGATACCATTGGGCTACGCTAGCACGCAACCGGGATGAATGGAGACGTTACTGGCACCCGCTCGAATAAATCGATGAATAACGGGGATTAAGTGATTAAGTGATTAAGTGATAAGTATACAGAAAACATGCACATTCTTGATAAATGGAAGCATGCTTTATTACAGTTTTTGCTTGGGTGTGTCTTGTTTGTTAATTAAATGACATTTTAATACTAATTCAAGATAGAACCTTGTTTCATCTATTATGAATCATTTTATGATTTTTCTCAATGAAATTATTCTTATTTTTCTCTCATAAAAATAAGCATACACAAAGCATCTCATTCTAAGGAATTTACCTAGGATTTGATAACTAATATAAATCCTTATACAAACTAGTACAACGAAAAAGTTTTATTATATATGTATGTAGTATATAACAGTTGAATATAAGCATATATTTACAAAATGAGAAAAAAGGATTATTTGCATCCTTTCTATTCTCTAATATGGTTTTAATATCTGCTACTGTCCTCCCGTTTTTCATCGATTTGCTCAAGCGGGCCCAGTAACATCTCAACTGGAGACTTTGTTGTTGCTGTGTTTGGCATATCGAATACCTCATGTGTAGCTTGCCAGGCTCTGCCATGCAGGCGAGATCCTCTCGGTAGCTTGCCAGGCTCTCCAAGAGGGGCGGAGGAATCGAACTTGGGTTGGCCATGTTGGCTGCATGCAAGGCAAACGCTCTATCGCTGTGCTATGGTTTTAATATAAAAGCTTAAAAATTTGATCAGTAATATTTGTTAGGCTGGAGCGATAGCACAGCAGGTAGGGCCTTTGCCTTGCACGTGCCGACCCAAGTTTGAGTCCTCTGACCCTCTCGGAGAGCCTAGCAAGCTACCGAGAGTATCCCGCCCGCACAGCAGAGCCTGACAAGTTCCCTGTGGTGTATTTGATATGCCAAAAGCAGTAACAATAAATCTCACAACAGAGACGTTACTAATGCCCACTCGAGCAAATTGATGAACAACGGGCAGACTATGCTACAGTACCACAATATTCGTTTAGAATAGCTTTTTTGTTCCTGATCGGGATGAGTGACAGTTAAAAATATGCAAATACCAAGAACCGTATCTTGGAGAATGAGTAATATATAGGATATCCTGATAGTAAGTTACTTGTATCCAAAACTTTATACTCTTAACCGTAATGGTTTTTATGTGCATAAATTTGATTATGTCACATCAGTGGTAGACTTGCAATGAACTATTCTTTTGTATACTTGAAATGAAATCTTGCAGTTTGCTGCAACTAGAATGAAAGTGCAAAGTATCATGTTAAGCAAAGTAAGTCAGAGGGAAGACAAATACCAGATGACCTCTCTTATCTGTGGTATATAGAGAAACAAAATAGTATTGAATGATGGCAAACCCTTGGCTTTGCAGAACTGAGATTACAAACGTGAGGGCTGCAGGAATGAAAAGGTGAACTAGAAGTAACATAAGGACAATGGTGAGAGGATCTTGGGCACTTTAGTGATGTGGAGGAGTAGCAACTACATAAAAACCATAAACATTAACAGTGTTGTAACCATGTTAACTAAACTTTCGATAATAAAAATTATAATTATTTATAATACATGTATATATACTTACATGCATACACACATATGCATATAAGTATGCATATGTATCATGGCACGATTTTTTCATTCCTCCTGCCTGAGGCACTTTAGACCAGAACTGTTTTGGAGGTTTCTGATGACAAATGGAAGGAATAAAACTTGGGAGTAAATTTTCTGAGTATAACTGATCGGTCATGTAGGATAAACGGTCTCAGAGCTTTTCACGTGTAATCTATGTAAAGGTAATATTTTATACATTCAAATATGGAACATTTGTGTTTTTTGTTTTCATTCTGTAAACATAAATTCAAAAAATCTTAAAATGTGCTAAAAACTCACTTCTGTTTTAGTTTGCAATATGACCTTGTAAACAACATTTACAACTCAAATTGTAAACAACTCAAATTTCTTTTTAAACAATCAAATTTCAGATTTAATAGTTAAATGTTTTTAGTTTAGAAAAATGTACACAGATAATGGCCTTGCTAACTGAAAAATTTATTCAGTCAAAACTTAATTTTCTGTACATTGTTTTCTTGCAGGAAACAAATCACAAGACAGTGGAATAGCCGAGATGGAAGAACTTCCTGTACCACATAACATCAAAATAAGCAACATTACATGTGATTCATTTAAGATTTCATGGGAAATGGATTCAAAATCAAAGGACCGTATTACACACTATTTTATTGACCTTAATAAGAAAGAGAATAAAAATTCCAATAAGTTTAAGCACAAGGTAAAGTCATATTTTTGCATGTATGTATATGTGTGTATTTCCAATTTAAAACTTTTTAAGACATTTGGGGTTATTTTGCTGGGAGCTGTACCCTGTATCTCTCAAAGGCTACTCGTGACTGGGTGCTGAAAGGATCACTCCTCACAGTGCTCCAGAGACTGCATAGTGTCTGGTATTGGACCAGACCTCCTGTGTGCAAAGCATATCCTCACCACAGTGAACTATCTTTCCAGCCACTATAAGGACACTTTGAAAGAATCGATGATACTCTGTCAGTTACCTACGCAAATTTGACATTGGGAATGGAAATGACATGTCATTTTAAAAATGTGTCCTTGTAAGAAATTTTATGCAGAAATTTTATAAGGAAAGAAAATGCCAACTGATTAAAATAAAAATTTTCTTTCACAAAGGTAAAAATCATGTAAACATTAGAAAGAACACATGTTAAAGAGTGTACATGAATGAGTTAGTGAAGGAGGTATTACAAGCAGTTCAAATCATCATCCAAAATCACTATAATAGATCAAGAATAATGAGATGTGTACATAAGTGGCTGCAAAACTGGTTTCTGTCGGGGGGCAGGGAGGAATGGGAAAATAGGGACAGGATTCCTTCGCACGTATTTAGACAAAAATAACAATCATTTGTTTGTAAACCGATATTAAATTTGTAAAAAACCTTCTGCAAAGTCAGAAGATAACCAGAAGAAGGTACCAGACAAAAAATTTAGTTTTCCAATGAAATGAATATTTTTACTTTAAAAACTGCGAAAAATAAAACGAGTGCAGCTTTTAAACTTTATAGAGGGGTCAGAAGGACAGTGCAGAACTTGTCTTGCATGTGGCCAACCTGAGTTCAATCTCCAAATGATCCCTGAGCCCCCCAGGAATGATTGCTGGGCACAGAGCGAGGAGTGATTCCTGAGCAATGCTAGGCATGGCCCCCAAACAAATTATTTTAAATAAACTTCATGGAATATTTGTTAAAACACTTGGGGGAATTTTTTATGCAGTTCATCTTATGGTTTCAGATAGGTCAGATTTTAAATGTTTGACATAAAATACTTCACTGTTTATTAAGCATACCTGTCATGTTTAAATTTATCATGATTTGTCATGCATTTTAAAATGTTTTCTGAAACGTGTATACCTTTAGAAGTGACTATTGAAAGAGGATAATAATCACCCAGTTTCAGTATTATTTTTTGTTTCAGTATTTTCACTGATGATAAAAATTTGTTTTTTTGTTTTGATACTATATATATATCTTAAATTTTTTACTGAATCACTGTGAGATAGACCCTTACAAAGCTGTTCATGATCAGGTTTTAGTTATACAGTGTACATTTCCCAGTACCAGTGTCCCCAGTTACCCACACATCACCCCACACCCCCACACTCTTCACCCAGCCTGCCCCTATGGCAGGTGCTGTCTATCTCTCTCTGTCTCTCTACATATATATGTACTGTACATATATATACATATACATATATATATGATACTATATTTTAAGTTGATCTGTCTTCTGTAAGGACTGTTAAATGTCATCTGGAAAGTATGCATACTAACAATAACTATGGATTATATACACAGATAAGTATGAGAAGGAGAATATAATTTATATCATCTGTTTCCAAATTTTGATTCTTTCCAGTGATTGTTTTCATTGCTGACATTTGCCTTCTCTAAGTAGCTTTGAACTACTTAATGTGAAATTTAATAGAGATCATGATTCAGACTTGGAATAACATCTATAGAAATGTAATTAATATTCAGCTAGTAGCTTTGTTTTACTGTTTAGAAATATCTAAACACTTCCTAACAATACCTGCAAATTTACAGACTGCATATATTAGTACAAATAAAGAAGATATTTCATCTTTAGCTAAAAATTGGCTCTTTTTTATTTCACAGTATTCAAAGTATTATTTTTTTCTTCATTTTTTTATCAGAATATTGAATTTTAAGGAGTATGCATAAGTAATTTACAGAAAATATTATTAGAAATCAGTAAAACTGCAAAAAATAGTTCATTTATGTCAGTTAGCTGTATGATCTAGGGAATATCTCTTTCAAAGTTAGCGATTGTTTCACATCTAAAGAATAAGATTTGATTATAAAAGTCGTTAAAAATGTCTTTAAACAGGGAAATCTGTCATCAGCCATGCAGATAATTAAGTTCATCAACATTGTTTACAGTTGATTCATTACATATTAACTTAAGCATTACCTTGACCCTCTCTCCCTTCTTGCCTGTATACATCCCCTTCTTCCATCCTCTATTTCCCTCTTTCGTCTTCCTTTTCTTAGGATGTTCCAACAAAGTTGGTGGCAAAAGCTGTTCCTCTGCCAATGACTGTCCGTGGACACTGGTTTTTGAGCCCAAGGACTGAGTATACTGTAGCAGTGCAGACTGCCTCAAAACAAGTTGATGGTGATTATGTTGTTTCGGAATGGAGTGAAATTATAGAATTCTGTACAGCAGGTATGATACAAATGCATAAAAAGATCTTAATGGGTCTGGAAAGGTAGTTATAGAAAAAAGTAGTTAAGGATAAAACATTGCATTGATAATTTTGAATCAACACTAGAATAGCACAACAGGGGAAAAAAGTGTATTGTTTGGAGGAGCTTAGATTCACAGCAAAAACAAGGCAATGAAATAAAATTTGGTACATGCATAGTTTTCTCTTTCAGAGTAAAGGCCTTGTAAATAAAAAAATTGATGCAGTTTGAAAATATGCCTATCTAGGCATATTTTATTTTTTATTTCTTCCTTTTTCGTTTTTTTCACAGATAGTAACGAAACACCCTTGCCTAATTTAGGGGTTAGGCAAATCTCAATGAATGTTTCTAGCAGAAATGCTGGTTTTTTTTTTTCACTTTACTGGAAGAACTTAAGAACAGCTGTCTCTGTTTCTTGTGTATGTGTTTGATTTATTAGAAAGTATAAGTTTGATTTATTAGAAAGTATAAGTTTGATTTATTAGAAAGTATGATAGCCATATGGGACTGTAATATTTGAAATGGAAAATCCAGCCACTATTTTATGTATCACTAAGAAATAATTCCACCACTTGAAAAGTATGAAACTGTTTTCTCATAGCTTTTATAGTCAGACTCACATCAGAGATGCTAAAATGTAAAAATGTATTCATTATAAAATATGTAGAATACTGTTATAATCATAGTTTGGTATTTCCATCTTCTTAACACAACTAGCCTATATTTTATGTGTCACGTTTGAATTAATCTATCTCCCAATATTTTTCTGAACTAAAATCCCTCTTTGTTCTCTCTCTTCTACTTTTGGTTTTGTACTGCATTGCTTTCTGTTTATTTTCATTGCTCCTTTCAAGGGAGGTTTAATCTAATTAAGACATTCTGTAGAGAGTCACTTTTTTATATTGTTTTAATGAATGTTTCATGTAGGAGTGCAGGTAATGGTATCATATATAATTTATTAAAAACTTAGAATTTGCCTACTAAAATGCTATTTGACATCAAGTGAAAGCAGAAAATATTACTTCTCCTTTAGCTTAAGGAAGAACTTTGACTCCTTGGACGAGAGCAATAGTACAGCGAGTAGGGTATTTGCCTTGCACATGGCCAACCTGGGTTCAATCTCTGCCATTCCATAAGGTTCTCCAAGCACCACCAGGAGTAATTCCTGAGTGCAGAGCCAGGAGTAGATTCTAAGCATCGCTGGCTGTGAATAAAACTTATTTTTTTAATTACCACCTATTTTTATTATACTTGTACGTATGATAGCTATGTGAGACCTATTTAATTATTTGTTGTGAGATCTATTTAATTATTCGTTTGTGAATTTTTAAAATGTCTTAAATCTTCTTTGCTTCATTTAGAGTGATCTCTCGGTTGCTTTTGTATTTAGTTAACTATATCTCAATTGTTTTTAGGAACTTATGCAGTAAATAATAAGGGAAACACCGCTTTGAAAGTGCCCAGGTGTGGCTGGGGCGAATATGAGAACTAAGAACAGAGGCCTAGCTTGTTCAAGACCCTGAATTCAAACTCAGCATCACATGACTTCCCTGTTATCACTCCCATGGCCTCAGAACACTGCCAGCTCTGGCTTATCTTTTAAAAATAAATCTTGTGCTAAATGTTACACATATTTTTCTATAAATTATTTTGCACTTTATTTTCATGAGTAAAATCTAAGGGCAATTTAAAATGTTTAAAACGTGTTCAATTTATCAAAGTAACTCAAATGCTGTTTCATATCACCTTTAGATCCTTCTGTCTGTATCTGTCTGTCCTCCCATTGTTCATCAATTTGCTCGAGCAGGCCCAGTAACATCTCCAGAGACTTTGTTGTTACTGTGTTTGGCATATCGAATACATCGCGGGTAGCTTGCCAGGCTCTTCCGTGTGGGCGAGATACTCTTGGTAGCTTGCCAGGCTCTCCGAGAGGGGTGGAGGAATCGAACTCAGGTTGGCCATGTTGGCTGCATGCAAGGCAAATGCCCTACCACTGTGCTACCGCTCAGGCCCTTAATTCTATTAATTTAGAGAAGACTTTTGAATAAATTATTGTTTAATCAGGATGCTTAATTCAACAGTTATTAAGCACATGCTGAGTGCTATGCTTATGAAAAATAGCAGAAATAAATAAAACGCCACAACTAATGTATTTCTAATCTAATCTGTGATGAAGATAAAATTCCTGTGTTTATATGGTAATTATATGTCTCTGTCTTTAGATTATGAGCTCTTTAAAAGAAAAAAAGTTTATCTTTTAATCTCCTAGTCTAATTTAACACATTGCTTTGTACATGGTATAGTACATAGCCTGTGTAGCTCTGATAAAATGTCCTTATCATCTTTTTTTTTGGATGAGACTGTTTGTAAGTTCATTGTATAACCTTGATATTAGCTCATTGTCAGATACATGATGTGTGAATTTATTCTTTTGTTTATTAACAATATGTTTTTGCTTTAGTTATTTTTCCAGTTTTGGAGACATATGTAGTTGTGCTCAGAGAATCACGTGAACTCAGGAGTTAGCTTGGGCCTTAATTGAGCTATCTCTCTGGCCCTGTCTTTTCATCTTAATAGTTCATTTTACTGTGCTGGTTTTAGTTAGATTTAATCTCTTTGGGCTGGAGCGATAGCACAGCTGGTAGGGTGTTTGCCTTGCACGCAGCCAACATGGCCGACCCGAGTTCCATTCCTCCGCCCCTCTCGGAGAGCCCGGCAAGCTACCAAGAGTATCTCGCAGAGCCTGGCAAGCTCCCCTTGACGTATTCGATATGGCAAACACTGTAACAACAAGTCTCATGATGGAGACGTTACTGGGCCCGCTCGAGCAAATCGATGAACAACGGGAGGATCGTGACCCTGACCGTGACCATGTTTGCTTTTGGGGTTGAATCCCCCAAAGGAAGCCTATATCACGGAGGGTTTCTTCTATATATTTAATAATTTGAGGCCTAAAATACAAGACTTTAATCAGTTTTTAATTAATTCGCGCTTAATTAAGTCGCGCTTAACTTTTTGTCATGTTTACTACCTTCATGTATGAGGATTTAATTCTTAGCTCTCAACTCTGTTCTCTTGAACTACGTGCTTACTTTTATTCCAATATTATACTGTTTTTCAATGATGCTGAGGGGTTAGTTCTGGTTCTGCACTGAGGATTCACTCCTTGAGGAACCTTATGGGTATGCTGGGGACCTAGCCTAGCTCAGCCACTATCTCTCTGACCCCTACTGTTTTGATTACTATTGCTTTGTAGCATAGTTAGAAATTAGGGTGCATAATGACCCATTCGTCTCACTCCCCCACCAATGATTACTTTGGTTATCAGGGTCTTTGTGGTTCCATACAAATTTCAATAATGTTGGTCCCATTTACTTGAAGAATGACACTGGAATTTTGAAAGGAATTAAGTGTATTTCTTTGGGTGATCATTTTAATTCTTTTGATCATTCTGGGTGGTCATTTTGATCTTACAATTCATAACCCAGGAATATATTATTTCTTTTTGATTCTTTTTTTTTTTTGCTTTTTTGGGGGGGTGGGGGTCACACCAGGCAATGCCCAGGGGTTACTCCTGACTCTGCACTCAGGAATTACTCCTGGTGGTGCTCAGGGGACCATATGGGATGCTGGGAATCGAACCCGGGTCGGCCACGTGTAAGGCAAACGCCCTACCTGCTGTGCTATCACTCCAGCCAGCCCCTGTGATTTTTCTTTTTAACACTAACACTAGCTCGGGTTTTTAGCATAGAAGGTATTTGTTTAACCACTTTTAACCTCCTTAGTTTATTTGTACTTACTTCTTTCTTTATTCAGTTTTAAGTGGAGTTGTTTTCCTCTTCTAGTTCATTGCTTGTTTACAGAAATGCAATAACTTTGTATATTGATTTTGTAGCTTTTTATTGATTTATTGTTTACAGAAGACTTCAGGAAGTCTTACTTTTCTTTCCTTATTACTAAAAAAATTAAAAGTTTGACCTCCTTATGATTATATATATATGTATGTATTTGCTTTTTGGGTCACACCCGGCAATGCACAGGGGTCACTCCTGGCTCTGCGCTCAGGAATTACCCCTGGCAGTGCTCAGGGGATCATATGGGATGCTGGGAATCGAACCTGGGTCGGCCACGTGCATGGCAAACGCCCTACCCGCTGTGCTATTGCTCCAGCCCTTATATGTATATTTTTATCCAGTTTAAAGACTGAAGAAAATCAAAGTATGGTACTGGTTGGCAATATCTTGGTTATTTGGAGTCTCTATATTTCTTAGCATTTTTTCCAAATTTTTAATTTCCAAAAGTGAAATAAAGCTGAGGGTATTTTAAAAAATTATAAAAATACTCTGTAGAAATTAAAATATGTCAAATGACAATGTTTCTTTTTAAAAATCCTTTTTCTGTAAAGATAACTGTCCTTATGGTGAATTAATAATCCCCGTTTTATTAATCATGTAGTTGACTCTTTCAGCAATATGTTTTAAGAATAGTTCTTTTGGTTATTTTCAGATTACTCAAAAGTTCATCTAACACAGCTGTTGGAGAAAGCAGAAGTGATTGCAGGACGTATGCTTAAATTTTCTGTTTTTTATCGTAATCAGCACAAAGAATATTTTGACTATATTCGGTAAGGATAAAAGTGATTTGCTTTGCCAAATATTATTTCAAATTATTGAATAAAGGTTTTCCTTGTGTCTGATACTGTGAAATAGAGGTTCTAGTTTTCCCTTTAAAGTATTTAACTCTACTTGAACCTTCTTCCTCACAATAATCAATTAGGAAAGAATGTGGAATTTTCTCCCACTTCATTTTGTAATCACAAGATTACACATCCTGTCTATTTCAGTAGAATCTCTTCAATTTGCTCTGCTTATATGGACAAGAATTTCTTTTTATTTTTGTTTTGGGGCCATACCTGGCAGTCCTTAAGGGCTACTCCTGGCTCTGTGCTCAGAGAACCATGCAGTGCTCTGTATTGAAACAGGCTTCCCATATGCAAAACATATACTCAAACATAGACTTAATGAGAATTTCATATGCACTTTCCTCTAATTCCAGAAAAGACCATGCCTTCTGTTTCATACCAGCTACTAAATTTTCTTCTGAACTTCTGGATCTCTTTAAGTTGTTGAAACTAAGAGAGTAAATGTTGATTATTAATGAAATATTAATGCTAAATCAAGTATAATATTTAGTCATCTCATTAATGTTGGATTAATTATTCATGAGGCTATTCACATTTGTTCACTTTTGAATTTTAGTGTTTAAGTTGTGTATTTAAACACTAGAATAGCCTATTTTTGCCTCTAGAAGTAATTCCCATTAATTGAAAAGAATTCTATGATACTGTAAGCAGTTTTAATATTAGTAAGATCTTTTATATTTATAGAAGAAACTTGCAGGAAACTAAACAGGTGTGTTTTAAAGTAGCACAGAGGCTTTTAAAATATTTACTACTATATATACATATATATAGTTTTAAAGCATATATATGCTAATCCCCATAATTTATCATTTTATGCTAATCCCTGTAATTTATCATTGTAAATGCCTCCTTATCACTGCAAACTCTAAAAGATTCTTCAACTGGTAAGATTGTACATGAAAAAAAAAGTAAGAAACTTGTTTTTGGTTTGTTTTATATCTCTATAGTTTTTCTTTTTGTTGTCACTGGGGTTGGTTTGGGACACAACCAGTGGTGCTCAGTGCTGGCTTCTGGCTTTGCATTCAACTTGGTGTACTCAGGAGTTGAACCCAGGTCGGTTGCCTGCAAGGCCAGTGCCATACTTGCTTTTTTGCTCTGGCCCCAGTATCTCTCTAGTTTTGTTTTTCAGTTTTTCTTAAATTTATTGAATAGCTATGAATTGCAGAGTTACAGAGCTTCTTGTTTGAATTTCAGGTGTATGATGTTTAGGTATCAATCCTTTCATCGATTCCCACGCCCTCCACCAGTGTCCCCAGTTTCTCTCCCACCACCCAGCCTGCACACAATTTTTTAATTTTTTTCCTTTGAGGCATTGTGATTTGCAATACTGTCTTTTTATCTTGGTTTAGAATTTAACTCTGCTACCAGCTGGGAAAATGCAAAGAAAAATGTTAAAAAAAAAACCAAATTTAGCATTTGGTTTCCTCATTTGAAATACTTTTATTATGACATCTTATATATTTTTGTTGCAAAATTATTCCTCCCACATATTTGAGTATCTTATAAATGTATAGTTTAATCTATAATTATTTTAAGCTGGTGAATTGTTTACTCTTAATTATATTTAATTCCTGGTGAATGCCATTACCCTAATTTAGAAAGACTGGAGTTACAAATACGTTATCTGTTAAGTGTTGAGTGGGAATAACTATCCTAAAATGTATTCTCATATTTGTTAAGCACAACATTTAAAAACAAAAAAAATCCAGTATTTTTTTTTTAGTGATATTTGATTTCACTCGTATGTGGTACTTGGAGAAAATAGGTGAACTAAATGAATTTTTCATGGTATGACTATTTACTGGTTACCAGAAATGAAGTGAATAGGCCACAGGGCTAAAGGCAGAGTGGGTAACTTTTAGAAGAAAGGGGACACACATATTAATTAACAGGAATGCATAACCAAAATCTATATGTATAGATTTGTATAATTATACAATAATACTTTAATATTTTTTAAAATGAAAAATATTGTAAAATTCAAGTATTTTAAGTACTAAGAATTTTTTTTTAAGATGAACACTGATAGAATGCATACATACTTTTGTTTTAGTACTAGATTTTGATTCACGGGATATTTGCAATATAGCAAATATTTCAGTGACCACTGGAGGTCAGTATTTCATCTTTTTTTTTTTTGTCTTTGGTGGGGAAACTGATGTATTTTCGGGTACTTAGATATTTCAAAAATTGCTTTACCTATTTCCAAAAGTTCTTCTAAGAAGGATATAAGACAAAGACCAAGAGTCTGGAAAATAAAAAATTATTACATTTGTACTTCATGTAGGATAATTTTATATCGTATATAATTATGTCAATTAGGCTACCTATAAAAGATTATATATATTATATATACATATATATATATATATATATAGTATATATCCTGTGACTGTTTCCAGTATCTTAGTGTGAGAGATGTATTTACTGGGGCTGGAGGGATGGTATAGCAGGTCAGTTGCTTTCCTTGCATGTGACTGACCTAGGTTCTATCCCTGGAACCCAGGATGGTCCCCTGAGCCCACCCCATGTGATCCCTGAATATAGAGCTCAGGGATGGACACATTGTTTTGCTCTTTCAAAGCTGCTTCTTACAAAAGCTTTACTTAAAAATAGTGAACTTTACCTTCTATTTACATAATTTACTTAAAATGTCACATTGTTACTGAGAATGCTTGAATGGGAAGGAACCTTGCTTATTCAGGTCCCAAAAGAACCACTGGATGCCCTAGGGGATTCCAAGCATCCACAGTTATAACCCTAGCCCCCCTCCCTGCCTTCAAAGCAACCCCAGGGTTACCAGGATACTGCCCAGCAACAGAGCTGAAGCACTGAGAATTACTCAGGGGGCCCCTGTTCTGAGCACCGCTTGGGAAGCCCCCCAAAAATTGGTCCCCTAAGCACTGCCAGGGGTAATTTCAGAGTCAGAGAGCCAGGGTTTGAAGCCCAACCGCCCCCCCAAAAGCCAAAAAAAATAAAACCACCAGGGTCAGTAGCATACAAAACAAGGACCTTAACCCTTGTACAGTGTCTGGCACTGACACCAATTTTAAAAGATACATGTACCCCTATGTTTACTGAGGCATTATTGAGCTACCCAAGATATGTAAATAACTTGTGTCCAAAGTCAGATGAGTGAAAACATAGATTGAACTGGAGAGTATTATGCCAAATCATAATGAGAAAGATAAATACCAAGTGATTTCACTATATGAAAGGGGAAAGAAAACAAATGCCTGGTTTCTAACTGCAAATCTGTGGCAGAGAACAGTGGGGTGAGGGAGTTATAAAAAAATACTATTTTAAAAATACACATGCTAAGACACTGCAGAAACCCCTGAAAACTGAAGTCAGGAGCAAAAGAGTGCCTTATTCATAGAAGAAAAATAAAAACAATTGAAAGACTTTGTAGACCAGACAAAAATGGCACAATATTTACAAGTGGTAAAAGAGAGCTTCCACATTAGTATTAAAGGACCAAGGAAGAGTAAGAATGCAAATTATAGACCAGTGTTCCTGACAGATCTATATGCAAAGATCTCAGTAGCACTGCACTGTCCTCCCGTTCATCGATTTGCTCGAGCAGGCCCAGTAACATCTCCACTGTGAGACTTGTTACTGTGTTTGGCATATCGAATAGGTCACGGTCAGCTTGCCAGGCTTTGCCGTGCGGGCGAGATCCTCTCCATAGCTTGCCGGGCTCTCCGAGAGGGGCGGAGGAATAGAACCCAGGTCAGCCGCATGCAAGCAAATGCCCTACCCGCTGTGCTGTCAGTCCAGCCCCCGAAACCAAATCCAGCAATACTTTTAAAGGATCATATGCCATGATCCAGTGTGATTCATTCCTCAAATGTAAAAACGGTTCAATATATGGGGCATACTGGCAGATTAAGGAGATAGCTGTAACAGCCAAACCTAAGGGTCAAGGCTATAATTTAGCTGTCATTAGGCAGTGTCAAAAGATGTGTTCCCCTTTATTTGATAAGAAGGCAAAGCATTTTGGTTTTTAATATTAGACAGTTAACCTTCAGACTTAGCGATAAATACATAAATTAGTGCTTTAATCATGATGTACCAAAGAATGACACTCCCCTTCTTTGCAGAGAACATCATGGAAATGCAATGCAGCCTTCTGTCAAAGATAATAGTGGTAGCCATGGTTCTCCTATCAGTGGAAAATTAGAAGGCATCTTTTTCAGTTGCAGCACTGAATTCAATACTGGGAAGCCACCCCAGGATTCACCTTATGGAAGATACAGGTTTGAGATTACAGCAGAAAGACTTTTTAACCCAAATACTAACTTATACTTTGGGGACTTCTATTGTATGTACACTGCTTATCATTATGTGATTCTTGTTATTGCCCCTGTGGGATCACCAGGAGACGAATTTTGTAAGCTGCGCCTTCCTCAGCTAAATTCCAAGGATAATAAATTTTTGACCTGCACAGAAGAAGACGGGGTACTGGTTTACCACCATGCCCAGGATGTCATTTTAGAAGTTATTTACACTGACCCTGTGGATCTTTCTCTGGGCACCGTGGCAGAAATCACTGGTCATCAGCTCATGAGTTTGTCTACCGCAAACGCAAAGAAAGATCCCAGCTGCAAAACTTGTAATATCAGTGTTGGACGTTAAAGCCCACTTTCCTTATTTGGTCCCTTTTTTCCCCTTAGGAAGATTGATTCTTTGTTAGCCATTTTCATCATCACCAGATGTTTTCATTAAAGCATGCACATGCCGCTACCACCAAAAGCAAACTGCCACTTTCCACATTTCATTCAGAGCTGTTTCAGTGTTTCTATGCCCTACCTTTCCTACTTTCACTGATGAGATATTCTAAGTTCTCCTTTTGATTTTTTATTGCCTAGATGCTGCAATGTTTTTATTTTTCCGTTTTGCCAAACATAACAAAACAATGATATAAATCGCTTTAGCAAAATACAAAATAATGACTTATCGATGGTGTTTAAATATGCATTCATTTTAATCTACTGAAAAAATATTGAGATAACTCCAAATCGCATGAAAGGGTATAATTGCAGCATGAGTTGAATCTTGAAGACTAGAATCGCCAGCACTTCCAACCTGTTGTTTGACTGTGTTATTTATGTTATTTATATTAGCTAACAGGAGACAACTGCTGTGTTTCAACATAATAAATATAATAGAAAAATATTTTATTTGTATTGTTGTATAAAATATTTACAGTCAAATAGAATATATAGTTACATTTTAATAGCAATTGTATACATGTCATGAAACAAGTTTCCCTTATCAAAGATGTAGTTTGTAAACCTCAAATAGTTGTATATCTGTCCTGTTACAAGTAGTTGACTTCAATTAAACAGCTTTACGAAGGACAATATTCTGATTCATAAAAGTTATAAAATACCAGCTAATACAGAGAAACATTAAGCCTCTGAAATAATCTGCTTCTGAAATAATCATTATTCTTTCTATCCAAACTATATGAACATGTGAATTTCTTCAACTTCATGCTTAAACATTACAGAAAAATATAAGTACAAACATGGTTGGTACAAGAAAAAAATGTCAATCATTTACTAATTTTTACAAAAGTAAAATTAATGTGTTTCAGTAGAACATAACAAAACAATATACACTAAATCTGATGAAGTGAATAAAATATTCTAGCTTCTTAAAGGTATCATGACAATTTTCAAACCTTTCATACAGAATGAAGCTACGGCTCATGAGAAATCTTTTAGACCTTACAAAGTAGAGACCTTGGAACATTAAGAAAAATGTGTATTCCCAATGGAAAAATAGTCATATACTTTAAGATATAGTAAACAAAAATTAGCAGTCATACCTATGATCACATTATTTACTACAGACAAGTCTCTATCCAAAATACCTATTTTTAAATTTTAATACAATTTTATTTTAATATAAACAACTCTCAGTTATAGACAAAGATAATTCACAAAGTACATGCTCTCAGAATTAACTTTGGTAATCAGAAATGTAAATTTTCAGATAACAGAAAATAATTGCTATTTTTATGTAGAAATAAAAAATTAGCAGTGACATATTCTAGAGTGTTTTAGGATACTAAAGATCTATTAGACTTAAGGGACAAGGTAGTTTATTTTTTAATCACTTAAAACTCTATTAGACATTTCCAACAAACTACTTTCTTATTAGATATATTCCTTCACACATAAAAATTAGAGTTTGCCTCTTCTTACTGATATTTTAAAAATCATATTCCTATGTATCAACATAAGCCATCTTTGGACACTAGAAGATATTTCCCTACTTCCCTAACAAGTGGGCTATTGAAAAGCTGGATGTTACATGTCATTTAAATTTGAGAAAATATTGGACATTAAATAATTAGAGAGACTGGGTTTTCTCTCCTTGACACAAAGGAACTGACTCCCTCCAATTATGTTATTTGTGGTATATCCCCTCATTCAAATTCCTTCTCATTTTTAATTATAGTTGTCATACTTTCTCAAAAACAATACTTCCATTAAAGTGCTTCAGTTTTCCATATGTTGAAACCACATAGCAAGATTAGCAGAGGAAAATCAACTTAAGTTTTTCTTGGGTTAAGGTAATCACAAACATTTCTTAAACCTCAAATAGTTTTGGCCACGTCTTGCTTGCTGATGAGGACCTCTAAAAGTCTCAGTTTGGCCTTTATGTGCTTGTATTCATAGTACTCATCTGCCATTGGTATTCTATCTTCCTTTTGTGGACTTCTGCAAAGCAGAAAATCGTGTATTAGTTAACAATAAAAACAATTAAAAATCATTTTAAAATTCTTGCATGAGAAAATACTGGATAGCAGTTTCCACTTAATGTTTGCATCTTATCTTCCCTTCATCTTTACTTACTCCCATCGCCTTTAAAAAGTTTATTGTCATAGATGTTTTATAGCAATGTGATCTGAAAGTGTATGGGTATATATGTATATACTGGAGGTCAAGTAAAATGATGGGAGTGTGGGTTAGGGAACACCCCCAACACATTCTAGACACTGTCTTATTTTTTGCATATGTATAATGTTTTGCATTTATACAAGTCAGCCTAAAACTCTTAAAATATCAAATCACTTATAAATTTATGATTATTGTTAGAACAATCATAAATGACTACCTCACAATATGAAATATTTTCAAATTTTCTTGTAATTGTAACACAAGTACCTGCTAATGTGCAGTGGAATCACTGAGAAGTTCTTTGAAGTAATTTGTGAATCTAAATTGCAATGCCCTTTTTGCATTTTAATTTTACTAGGAGTATACATAAAATACAGATCCCGGAACCGCGGCCGCATTCGCGGCCGCGCGACATCTTGACAGAACTTTTTTTTATGACATCTTATTGTCTTATTCCTACTTTGCACAAACTTGCAGGCTATCGAATGTAGCCTGCCCACAGGGCAGAGTCTGGCAAACTCCCCGTGGCGTACCAAATATGCCAAATACCAGTAACAATGATGGGTCTCATTCTCCTAAAGAGCCTTGAATATAATCTCAGGGCTAGGATGAAAGAGACGTTACTGGGGCCTGCTCGAGGCAATCGACGAATAACAGGATGATGAAATGAAATGAAATGAAATACATAAAACAATGCATACATTTTTATACAGATGCATATAACCACTACACGTTCTTCTCAATACTTTGAAAATGATTATGTAATATCTGGAATTAAAAACATTTTCCTTCCCACTGAAGGAAAACCTACTACTTTAGGTTCTACGGAGGTTATTGTCTTATTGGTTGATAAAATGGTCAATTATCTTTTAGAATATTTCCACCCATGATATGGAAATGCTAGTAGTAGAAGACACAGATGAAGTCCCCACAATTGTTACTGACTACAAATATAACTAGTCTCATACACATTAGCAAGACTGAAAATGAGTAAATGGCAAACATGTAATATTTTATCTGTATTTTTCTTCTATTTTCCCAGTACAAAAAAGGAAACATCTCTTAAAATTACACAAGCTAATCAATAAAGATACTAAGAATGCAGTGGTCTACTTGTATAACACAGATGTACACTGTCCTGTACTTTCTACAAAACTCAGAACATAACACAAATCTATAGACAGTTACTCTTAAATATTTCATAAATAATAATGACAAAATTAAAAGTTATCTAAATTTGCTTCTAAAAACTTATACCTGTGCTTGTCTAGTGCCTTAATTGGTGTAAGCAGATCTAAGTTAAGAAATGTTCTAATTCATAAGGAGATAGTAATTATCTAAAATATAACTTTACCTTAGGAATATGCTGGCCAAAATGAAACTTTTTGCTAAGAATGTCCTGGCACAGTTTTCCCATTATACAAAAGGTGTTAACTTTTAGCACGCACTGGCTTATGGTTGTGATAACAATATATCTCTATGATTATCATGCTTTGTGTATCAGAAATATTACCATGAACATTTACGGTGCCTTAAAATTTTTAGTGATATAATCTCATGAATATTTTACCTTATGAAAGTTCTGTATTACCAATAAACTATAATAAGATTAGGAAAATAGGATTAAGTTATGATTTTCCTAGTCATTAAGCTTATTTCAGTCATCACCACTTTTGAATTTGAGATATACTACCACAAGAGGGAACATAACAGTAATCAAATACAGGCATATCTGAAGTGGATTCAAGACTCAAGGGTGCAATAGATTATTATGTCTAGAAAATAACTAGTTTTCCTGTATGTTAAAAGTCATGCTGAGTACCATTTCAGATTTGGTAGGCAGAACTACTATTACACTGGGATGTTCATCAATTCTTAAAACTTCTTGATTTTTTTTGGGGGGGGGCTTTTTTTTAGTTTTGTTTTGGAGTAACACCCAGAAGTGCTTAGGGCTTTACTCCTGGCCTTGCACTCAGGGATCACTCCTGGCAGGCTCAAGATATCATGGGGTACCTGGGATCAAACCTGGGTCATCTGTGTGCAAGGATGATGCCCTACCACCTGTACAATTGCTCCAACCTCAAAGCGCCTGTGGGTTTAAATAAGTAAAAATAAAATGTAAAGTTGCATGCAATTTTTATATAAGAAAAAGATGGAAAAGAGAGGAATACAAATATTTTAACACCCTCAATGTAATTACCACACAGAATTTTTCATGAAATCAGATACATTAGCAAAAAGGTAAATAGATTGGACTCACATAATAATTAGAAAGTAAAAATCCAGGTAAAAACTTAAATGGCTTACATCTGTATTAGTGAACACAAAACATTTATAACTTAAGACTAGTACTATTCAAACAGTCCAAAAGTACTGAAATGAAACATCTCTAATAAAAGGTGAGTAGCCTAAGCTTTTAAGTGTTTTTATAATAATAATCTCTTTTTACCAGGGTGACCCTCACACTGCTGACATGAAAGTATTTGGGGAAAGGTAGATATCCAGGTGAGAAAAATACTAAGGAGCCAGTATAGCACTGACTCCACTCTCTGCCAAGTAATAATGTTGTTACTTTAGAAAAGTTGTGTCCTTTGTTATTTTTAATGCTGATATACTGCTCCTTCAATAGTCATAATTTCCTAAGGTATCACAAGAAGTTGTTATTTAATCCTTACAAACATGAAAATTGTAGGATATGTGAGTGATTTTTGCCTATCTTCTAGAAGTAGATCAATAAAATGTCTCTTGATTGTGATATATGTAATCTGAAATATTTATATATTTTTGATGATAAAAATTAGGAAAAACTGGATTGAATTTCATAATGAGATCTTGTGAAAAATAGAGGACCATGCAATAAAACATGAACTTTTGACCAACTCCTAAAATAAGTACAGGTAGATCCTGAAGTTTAAAGGTTATATTTAAAGCAAAGGAAGCAATATTAAAATGGAGGATATATTGTGGAACAAAGTAGCCAAGAGCAAAGAAATTACATGGCTCATGAACAGATTCTAAAGGTCTAGATAAACTCCATAGTTACCAGTTTTTTGTGAATAAAATCAGGGATTTGGGGGAGTTCACCTTTTATTATTTTTAAAGCCTGATGTCATATTTGAGAGCATAGCTTTTCACAAAGCATTTGTAATGGTAGTACTGTCCAAATATCAGGAAATCCTGCTAGGAAATCCTGGGTCAAAGTCAGTATGGAAATCATTTGTATATGTATAAAGTGACTGTTCCTACACAAACTGTAGCTAATCTTAAAAACAGTTCCCTAAGAGGTGTTAGTCTAAGAAATATAGCTGATAATACTTACCTTCCTGTTTGTTTAAAAAACTGTTCTTCAAATTCTCTTAAGGCTTTCCGAAGTCTCTTCTTGTCAGCCCTAGTTTCTCGGAGATGGTCAAGAAGTACAGGCCTATACCAAGTGAAACATAGGTGCTTCATTACTTGGCTTTGGCCTGAGAAATGGAGCAGATTTGTCTTTCAGCAGTTTTCTGCCTGTCCAGGGACTGAGGAGAGGCACGCTGACTAACTACATTATAAAAAGTGATGATGGTAAAGAACAAGTGAATGGGTGAGGGGGAAATACTCTTTGAATGAATACTCCTCAGTATTTGCTGACAGATTAAATAAAAGTGCACAATAGATCTTAAAGAAAATGCTGTCCTTTAGAGCATATCAGGAATAGCAAAATCCTTGGAAATGAAACATATATCTGAGAGAAAGCTATAGTTAAAAATAGTACACACTTTATTCTGCGAAGACAATAGAGAAAAGTAATTCAAATTAGATAAGAATTTCTTTTTACTTATTTTTTATTCTTTGATTGGAGGGAAGGGGCCACACCCGGTGGTTCTTAAGAGATTGCAGTCCTGGGAATCAAATTGGGCTTTCCACATGCAAAGCATGGGCTCCGGCCATTTGAGCAGATTTTTGGGGGGGGGAAGCACACACCTAGTGCTTAGGTCCTACTCCTGACTCTGTGTTCAGGGATCACTCTTGGCAGTACTCAGGGACCACAGGTGCCAGGGATGAAACCCAGGTCAGCCATGTGCTATGTAAGCACCCTACCTACTGTCCTATCACTCTGGCCCTTTAGCAGGAATTTTTATCTGTGGGACTTGTTTATAGTTTTAGAGACTTCTTGAGTTTCTTGATATTAGATACTGACATTTTAAAAATTCCGTTACTTTAAAAAAATCAACATTAAAGTATAACTTCCGAAAGGAATCAACTAATATATTAACAAATGGGATGGAGAAAGGGAAGAAAAAAGAAGGGAGAGGAAGTAGGATGGATGGAAGATTAATTTTGTACTTTACAATAGGTCACTCAGGGCTGAAGCGATAGCACAGCAGGTAGGGCATGTCCCTTGCACGTGGCCGAGTTCGATTTGATTCCCAGCATCCCATATGGTCCCCCGAGCACTATCAGGAGTAATTCCTGAGTGCATGATCCAGGAGCAACCCCTGTGCATCGCCAGGTGTGACCCAAAAAGCAAATAAAATAGGTCACTCTTCTGTGATCTGTACTTGACATAACAATTCTAGAAGCACATTAAAAGCTCAATTAACAACTTAGTCATGTTTGGTCTCATCATATTTGTAAGGATTCTATTTGTAACTTGGGGGCATACTTATCCCTATAATTTATGTTAAAGAAAATTTTATGTCCTGGCCTGGATATATAAACCAAAGAATGCTATATAAGAGGAATGCGTGCTACTGTATAATGATAAGAAAAATGATCATATTCATGAAAATTCAAGTGGAGCTATTAGGAAATAGATGACAGCTAATTTACTTAAGACCAAGTAAATTGCCAGTTTGAGAAATGATCTTATCTAATCGGTAAAAATAAAGGTCATTTTAATAACTGCTGACCCATAAAAGAATTTCTGTTCCTCAGGTCCAGTATTCTGCCAAGAGTTCCAGAGTCTGCCAAAGTGTAGATTATTCCTCAACCCTGAGGACACCAGACCATCCAGGATGGTGGTAGTAGCCACATACAACCCAGAGAACTTTCTGTGTGCTTATAGGATGGAATTTCCAGAGGGGTATTGAGTAATTATTTTTCTGAAAAGGGAACATAAGCCAAATAAGTTTGACAATCTTGAGTTTGACCATGCAACTCTGTAAGACTGATCAGAACTTATAGCATCACTGGGATCTTATTAGGAGCTTTGGTGCTTCATAGCTTTGTATTTACAATTTTCCAGCTAAGACAACCAAGATATGCTCTCAGAGCAACTTTTGATGGGTAGCATCTTTTGAAAGTCTAGTAACTCTTTTGAGCTTGGCATATCCTTGAGAAACCCCAGATTCAGCAGAAGTTAAAAGGTTATTCTACCCTTAGAGTCCACACTTACATGGTGGCCTCGTGTAAATTGGACATGGAAAGTGTTGATTGTTTGATTTCTTTCTTTTCATCTGGTATCAATACCCGAGTAGGTTCACTCTCATTAGAGTAGATAAGATGATCACCAACAGCAAGGTGACATGTTTGCTCTGGCAAAGAAGATTGCTGGCTTCCTTGTGGACAATCTTCATCAGAGTCTTCTTCTTCATGCTTGTAACAGGCAAAGTTAAAACCATAAATGGTAAGTGTATCTTGACAAATCAAACCAGGAAGAAAAACTATAAACAGATATCGTGAAAACAGTAAATGATCCCTGTGATTATTTTTAATCACATCCTTTGTTGCAAAAAATTTCACTCAGAAGTTAATGAGCCCATACTGGGCTAAAATGCTTACAAAATTCATCTGTTTGCTAGGTCAAAAAAGTACAGCCATCCAGAATATGATCCAAATTTTACTGCACTACTGACCGGCTCTTTTAACCAGACATGAGTTCCCGCAGTTAGCTGGATGCAGATGAGATGGACTATGAACATCTTTTGTTATCTGGAAATAGCCCAAATTACTGGACTATGTTGAAATATAGACAATATTCATAAAATTCACAAGCTTATGGGAGTACTCTATGAAGTTGGTCAAAGCAAAGTTAAGATTCTCCTTAATCTTATTCTGGTAATATCACAAGAAAATTATTTTTGCAAGGAAATATGAAAATTATACCCCCATTTAAAATTATACCTCCTTAGTACATGCTGGTATTGTTTGGGCCTTAGCAGACAGTACTCAGGGCTCTGCTCAGGGATTACTCCTGCCTGGCTCAGGGAACCATACAGGGTGTCGGGTTGAACGTGGGGTCAGCCACATGCAAGGTAAACACCTTACTCACTGGACTCAAATTATGGGAAAGTTTCAGAGTGGAAATCGCTCTTGTCTGTCATAAAGTTATAGAAGTAAAAAAAAATCAATATAAAACAAAAAACTTTTTAGTTAATACAAACAGCCTGACTTACAATTGTTGGAATAAGAGAAGGTGTTGACAAGATTTGCTTGATAATTCTGTATCGGTCATAAAGAGGCTTTATGAGGTTTTTGTCTTGCTTAGTTACCTGAAAAACATGGAATTAATGCTCCTTTTTCAGAGAAGACTAAAAACATGTGTATACTTTCCAGAGGCAAAAAAGTGTCCTGATTCTTCAAAGAAAGGGATTATTATATTCCAAAACAGCAGTAATGAGAGTCATTTGTAATATATTGTACAGAGGGCATGCCAACATGTATAAAGGATAAGGTTCAAGTTTAGGAAGATGTTTTCAGAGCTAACAAGTCTGTAATGTATAAGTGGTATGAAATCTGTTGTTCAATTTATTTTTTAAAACACTGGGCCACCAAGATCTATTGCTTTTTCTTCTAAAACATGTATTTCATCTGTGTTTTTCTGATGATATTCACAGGTAGCAAACTTGTGCAATTCTTCATCAATATATGTTTGGATTGTATACTAATTTACTGATTAGCTCACACACTATTTTGGATAAGACAATGAGACAATACCCTCTTTCTTGGAGGGTATAGTTTCAAAATTTTTCTGACTAAAATATTTCAGAATATATGTTTGTGTGTGTATATATGTGTACATATATATGTATTCATATGTAGATATATCTGTCTTATGACCCATCTCCAGTTTCCAAACAGATCATATCACACATAAAAATGTAACTCTTTCTTTGTCAGTTATTTACCTTCCTATGTACTCTCCCTTCCTCAATTCAAAATGATTTAAAGTTTGCTTGCCTTGTTTTACCTCCCTACTATGTAAACCATATTAATTTCCTACATAGCTAGTATATGGAACTTCCTTCTCATTGTAGTTCAATTGTCTTAATTCAATTTGGGTGAATGAGAGAAACAACACATAGAATAACCATCCAGGAATAGTTTACCAAAATTCAAATGCACAAATGAGCTGTATGGCTCAATCAAATCCCCTAGAACAAATCTTGGGGGGAAAAGAAAATGGCTCAAGCTTTTTTATTACTTAAGCTTCATAATTATGCTACCTTACCTCCACTCCAGCTGTGAACCATTCTGATGCACACTGATGTCCTTTTTCACTGGTTTTCCAGTCACACTATGGGCTTTAGTTGTTTTTTTATGTTTAGTCTTTTGTTGCCAGGTAAATCAGAAATTTTTGAAGATAAAGGGAATATAATATTTTTTCACATTCTCACAGTACACAACATAAGCCTTTCACACTACAAATCCATATCTGTACACAAAAAGACTGGCTTTAATAATCTTTATGTGGGTTCTGCAAGCTATACTGTGTGGTTCTTTTATTTTCAGTAGAAAAATCACCTCTATAGAAGCCTTTAACATACTGGCAAAGTAATCTAAGAGCTATGACTCCTCAATGTAGCCCATGGAATTTTAACAGTGATAGAGAAAAAGGTTTTCAATATAATTATCATATGCTAATTATATAATATTTTATATGTTATATATCACTGTCACTGTTCTCCCGTTTTTCATCAATTTTCTCGAGCGGGCCCAGTAACATCCCCATCATGAGACTTTGTTATTACTGTGTTTGGCATATCGAATACATCACAAGTAGCTTGCCAGGCTCTGCTGTACGGGCGAGATACTTTCTGTAGCTTGCCGGGCTATCCGAGAGCGGCGGAGGAATTGAACTTAGGTCAGCCATGTTGGCTGCATGCAAGGCAAACGCCCTACCCGCTGTGCCATCGCTCCAGCCCCATATGTTATATATTAAATTATATATATTAAATTTATATTCATTATATTTTAATTTTAATAAGTTCAGAAACCACTTAAATGATCTTTTTATGCTGTTTCTATTGGGCTGTATATTCCACAGAAAGAACTTCAGAAAATGGTACATTTCACCATTATTATCATCTGTGTATTGCAATTTGATATTTGTTTTTTAGTATATTCTTTGGATTCTATGACAGCAATACTTAATAGAATGTTATAAAAAGACAAATTATAGCAATTAGTTTCACAGAATAATCTTCCATAGATGTTCTACAAAAATCTCGGTACATGTACAGTGTATGCAATCATATTTCACTGTGATAACTTTTTATCAGAGCATTCCCCAAAGATAGTCAGTTTAAGAGACTTACTGGTGATAAGAGACTGCCAAAACTGTAATTCCTTAGATGCTTATTATCTTCAGACTCAGAAAGGCAGATTGCCAGAAAGATGTTATAACATGGTTAATGTTCATAGTATTACAGGAGCTACTGTCTGTTCTCAAGCCTATAGAGACCTTTTATAGGAAACTTGCCAAGTCAGTTCAGTGAATTGGGAGATAGGACTTACTGGAGAAGTACCCAAATATAAAGAGAGGGCCAAAATAGGTTTGAGTTTGCTCTTCCTCAGCCCACATTCTGCTAAGAGCTTTTTCTTCTTAATTCAGTGGCTCACTGTTTCTGAAATACATACATACATCTGCCTTCATTTTGCCTTAGGTGGCTATCTATGGTACTTCACATACATGACTTTAGGTTTTTTTTTATGCAAGTTAAGGAAATAAGGACCATGTTGAGAAACCCAAAATTGCCAGAGAGAAATAGTCAAGCCTCAATGGTCTGCCAAATGTTAAAAGTAAATAAGATTATTTATATTATATTATAATATAATAATATTTCATTATTATATTATAATATAATAATATAACAACCCAAATTGAACTATTACAGTTGAATAGATGAGGCTCACTGCCAGCAGTTTCTATCTTCATTGTCTACGCACCAACATCCAATTATGATGAAGGAGAAATTGAGAAGTTCTATGTGGAGCTAGAGAAGTTCTATAAAGAAGACTACATCTTCTACAAGATCGTTGTCATTGATTTTAATGCCAAGATAGGACCGAGAAGATCAGCCAAAGAACAGCACATTGGGACCCATGGCCTAGAATGGAACGAACAGGGTGAGAGACTGTATGAGGTCATCATGTTGACCAAGACCATCCATGGTAACTCACAATTCCAGAAGGCCGAATCTAAACGTTGGACATGGGAGTCTCCCAGGTGGACAGTTCCACAACGAAACTAACCACATCATGTTCAATAGACGGTTTTGCCTGACCAATGTCGCTGTTGTCCCAAAATTCCAAATGGGATCGGACCACCGTCTCCATGCAAAATTCTACTTCACGGAGTGAGGAGAAAGGGCTGCAAAGTTTAAGACGAGAACTTCCAGGACGACCACCAACTGGGAGCTCTTTGGCACTACTGCAGTAACATGGGAAGATGCCGTCATTGACAACATTGACGAAGAATACGATCGAATGGTTAAGTACCTCCATGATTGTGTGAGGAACACTAAGAGAGACATAGCCACAAACAAGACGACTGTCTTCGAAAACTCTTCAGCTCATTTGCCAACGTGGCTTGGCGCAAGCCTCAAGCAACGGCAAGCAAACATACAAGCTCACAAAGCAGTGCAGAGAAGTGATCAAGGAAGACCTCAAAGAGAGAAGAGCAGCAGTGCTTGCATATGTGGCAGAAGCTGGGAAAAGCATTCACAACACCCACCCATCCTTTGCCAACTACAAGACCAAGATGAGCCCTCCGACATCCTGATGGATCTATCACATCTTCCAGAAGCGCAATGGAGATTTTCCATGACTTCTACTCAGATCTTTTTGATAGCCACATCCAACTGCCCACATACCAAATTCCGCAGGATGGATATGTCGTTCCTAATGTTCTCCCTTCTGAAATCCAACATGCCATTGCATCAGTAAAGAAATGAACAGCACCCGGCCCAGACAAGGTCAGACCCGAACACCTGAAGAACCTATCGTCAGTACTCATCAATACACTGGCTCGGCTCTTGACACACAATCTGTCTGAATGTTCCGTCCCTATGGAAAACCAGCAGGACTGTACTACTGTACAAGAAGGGAGACATCTACGACATTGGCAACTATGTCCCGATCTGCTTGTTGTCTGTCGCCTACAAGCTGTTCATGTGAGTCATCCTGAATAGAATTGGCAGAACACTAGATGAAGGACAACCATGTGAGCAAATCAGGTTCCAAAATGGATTCAGCACGATCGACCATATCCACACAGTAACCAAGCTCATTGAGATTTCTTGGGTATTCAAGATGCTGCTCTGTCTAACATTCATTGATTTAAAGAAGGCCTTTGATTCTGTTGAGAATGAAGCAGCCATCAAAGCCCTAGCCAAACAGGGCGTTCAAACTCAAAACATCAGGATCCTCCGTGAGCTGTATTATGGATTCACTACCAGGATCTCACCATTCTACAAGGAAGTGATCATCCATGTCAAGAGAGGGGTTCGGCAGGGTGATACATTTCACTGAAACTCTTCAGTGCCACCCTCGAGAATGTCATGCGACAACTGGAAGAGAAAGTAATGGGAGTGAAGATAGACGGTCGGCAACTATACCACCTCCACTTCGCTGATGACATCATTCTAATAACACCAAACATTACCAAGCGGTAGACTTCGACAGTGAGTGTGGAAAGGTCGGACTACAGCTAAATCTCACAAAGACAATGTTTATGAGAAACAGTTTGGTTCCTGAAATTCCATTTGCTCTCAACAGAACGAACATCTCTGAAAGCAACAGTTATGTGTACCTTGGTTGAGAAGTCAACATGACGAATGACCTGGCACCTGAGTTGTGCAGGAGGAAGAGAGTGGCTTGGGATGCCTTCAAGAGCGTCAAAGAAATATCTAAGAGGATGAAGAACCTCCAGCTCTGGGCACATCTCTTTGATTCCACTGTTCTTCCTGCAGTAACATATGCCTCAGAGACCTGGGCCCTATGCAAACAGGATGAGAACGCTATTCAGGTCTCCCAAAGAGGAATCAAAAGAGCTATGCTTGGAGTATCACACTTAAGTGAGAGAAGGAATCTGGAGTTCTGACCTCCGTCAATGATTGAGAATCAGGGATCTGCCTCATTTGCCAAGGCGTCAAAGATCAGATGGGCTGGCCATGTAATGCGATTTGGTGATGACCACTGGACTAGAGCCATTACCAACTGGATTCCACCGGATGTCAAAAGATCGCATGGCCGCCCACCTATGAGATGGTCAGACTTCTTCGTCAAAACCCTGAGTGATCAGTTTGAGGCTCTTCATTTTCCTAGAACGAGCAGACACCATTGGGCTACACTAGCACGCGACGGGGACGAATGAGACGTTACTGGTGTCCGCTCGAGCAAATCAATGAGTAACGGGATGTCAAGTGATCAAGCTTATTAACCTTAAAAGGCAATTATCCTTCCTCCCTGCTTCTCAATTTTTATGGCATCAAAATAAATGAAACTATTGAGCAAGAGGAGACTGAACATATAATTCGTTTTGATTTACTAATAGTTTGATAAATTTACCATTAGAAAAAGAGAAAAACTACTGATGCGCTGTCAAATTCTGAAATAGCCCCCAAGCAAGCTAACTTTCCAAGAAACATACTCTGTTGAGCCAAAAATATATTTACGTTTCTGGGCAAAGCCTGGCAAGCTGCCCATGACGTATTCGATATGCCAAACACAGTAACAACAAGTCTCACATTGGGGACGTTCCTGGGCCCGCTTGAGCAAATCGATGAACAACAGAGGACAGTGCTAGGACAGTGCTACTAAGGAAGCTGAATGGGAAAAAGTCTATCACACCATAGCTAAAGTTTACCTTTCACCCATGTATCACCTTTCTCTCCATGTCATTGGTCCACAGAAATTTAAAATAAAACTATTTCACTCATTCCCATAAATAATTTTTTTCCTGAAGACAGTAAAATTGATTTCCACCTCGCTATACAGTAAATGGTGAAAATCCGTAACTTTATCCTTAGGGATTCAAAGTCCTGCGAACTATCTCCAGCCTCCAGTAGAAAGAGACAAACTATGCAGAATAGCTATGCTATTTAAATTAACAAGTTAGTCAACTTGGAAACTCAGTAATGAACATAATACAATAACAGAATGGTGAATTTAGATTTCCAACCTGGGGACTCAATATTAGTCTTGAAACCAGTGAATGTGAGCTCAGATAACCATTTTCAGACTGTACATGGTACTCTTTTTGTGATCTCTAATGCTCAGATTTTAACATGCAGATATAGGATAATTTTTATTAAGTTATCATACACAAATGTCTCTAGAACAGAATCAGATATGCTATATGATATTTAAGCTCTCAAACAAACTGACCTGAGGTTACTACCAATGTTATACATTACTTTAACAAAATAACACTGTTTATTAAAGAAACTTAAGTACACTGAGTTCTGTTTTGATACAGAAATTTTTCTAGAATATGGAGCGATAGCACAGCGGGTAGGGCGTTTGCCTTACAAGCGGCCAACATGGCCGACCCGAGTTCGATTCCTCCGCCTCTCTCGGAGAGCCCGGCAAGCTACCGAGAGTATTCGATATGCCAAACACAGTAACAACAAAGTCTCCAATGGAGACGTTACTGGGCCCACTCGAGCAAATCGACGATCAACGGGCCTTTACTTTTACTAAAACTGAAAAATCGGGCATAAAATTGTACAGACTGTCAGTTTCATAATGGGGGCAAATTAAGAATATATATTGATTCTTTCTTGTATATGCTTTTCATAGACATTCCAAAAGCATAAAGAATTAACAACAGCGACCAGCTTAGGGATGTGTGTGCTAATTCAGAACAGAAGCTTACAAATAGGATCCCTTTTTAATATATTATTTTTTGAACTATGTGGAAAAGTACAACCTATTCAAATTATTTTTTAAAAGAACAAGTTATCATAAATTAATGGGGCATTTCTTCAGGGCCCTTGACTTCTAACCTTTTTCCTCAATGCAACATAAAAAACTCACTAATCAGGTATTAGTTTTTATTGAAATAATTGATTAAAATAATTATATCTTTAAAATCTGCTTTCTTTTTCAAGACCATTATAGCTGACGCAGGGTCAGAAGTAATTTTCAGTGCTCATCTACCTGGTAACTTTTGCTATGCATCCAACTCTAGCGATAGATCACAGAAAGGACAATAAAATGTATACATGTACAATATCACTTTAGAATATCCAAAGGGAAAAAAACAGAACTAGGTCTACAATAAGATCAGAAGATACCCTGCAATCACGATGCAATAATCTCTAACCATCATCCATAGATGAAAGAAAAAGAAAATTACTCCACAACAGTATCTGAACTTGTAATATAATGTGTCAGATTTGTTAGCTTAACTCTGGATCCTGACTAAATATCAAATGCAAAGTTTTCAAAGGCTTCTCTAGAAAATAAATATTTTTTTATTTTAGAAGTTTTAATATTTAATGCATTTTTAGCAGTAAGTAATCCTAGATGATTATTTGTAAATTGACTAAATAGTCAATTTATTGCTAAATTAGATCATTTCAAGTGATAATATACTCACTAAGGGTCAAAGAATTACTAGCTACTCTGGAATAGATAAAGTTGTATCTTAAAGAATCAGTTTGCTTGCCAAGTATTAAGACAATGGTTAGATAGTCACTTATTCAAGCACCAAGTCCTTTAAATCTTATATACCAATCCAAACATGTTTCCCTAATGAGTCACTATCACTGTCCTCCCATTTTTCATCTATTTGCTTGAGTGGGCCCAGTAACATTGTGAGACTTGTTACTGTGTTTGGCATATCGAATACATTATGGGGAGCTAGACAGGCTTTGCCGTGTGGGCAAGATACTCTCAGTAGCGTGCCGGGCTCTCCGAGAATGACAAAGGAATCGAACTCAGGTTGGCCCAGTCGGCTGCATACAAGGCAAATGCCCTACCCACCATGCTATCATGATCTCTAATAAGTAAAGAAGATAAAATATTTTAAATTCTAAAGGTAACTTCGTACAGATTAAGGTGGCTAAGTGTCTATTTATACTTGTAGATAACAAGTTCCAAGGTAAATATTAGTCTGGAACTTAGGGTGAACCTCTTGGGATTTGGCATATGCTGCCACTTTATGATTAAGACCAAATAGCATATAAAAGAACATCTACAGTACACAAGTAAATGCAACTCTCTCAAGAAAACTTCATTCCAAACTTATATATGCTACTTTGTCTACCAGCAAACATTTATTCAATACCTTCTATGTATAGACTTGTGGGATTATGTGTAATAAACAGCCCTTCTGCTCAAGAAGTCTATAGCATGATACAGAAAATGGTATGTGGCAATGATAGAATACTTATGAGTCTTATTCAAGAAACAGAAGGTAATCACACATCTTCGGAACTGAGACAGGAAGGATCACAGGAAACATTCTTGTATAAGTGAAATGTAAGCAAAGAGCTATGCATGATGGGAGAAGCCGGGGGGGGGGGATTACAAAGTAAATACTACTCTGCTCATATTTGTAAAATATGCATCTTTGAGTTTTTAGCCTACTTCACACATTTTAAATCCAAGATGTCTAAGTCTGGTCTATACATCTTTCCTAACGTTCCTCAAGAAACCATACCTTTAATACCATAAGATTTCATTATTTACACCTTATTCATGCTTTTTTAAAAAAATAGTGAAATGAAATTTCAATCCTGGTTTTTGGACCACTTGCTAACTGATTAAAGGAAGAGGGAGATATGATAGAGCCTAGTGCTTTTACCATTTGGTTGCTATCAACAGATGATGCTACCACCTCTAGGATGGTAACACATTCTGGAATCATGGAAAAATACTGAAAAGTCATGAACCCAGTAGAAACTCTGACAAATATCATAGTCTCCTAAAGAGCTTGGCTGGAGCGATAGCACAGTGGTAGGGCGTTCGCCTTACAAGCGGCCAACATGGCCGACCCGAGTTCGATTCCTCCACCCCTCTCAGAGAGCGCGGCAAGCTACCGAGAGTATTCGATATGCCAGACACAGTAACAACAAAGTCTCCAATGGAGACATTACTGGGCCCCTCGAGCAAATCGACGATCAACGGGAGGGCCTTTACCTTTATATTGGTCAAAATTATTAATAAGATGTGTGGAGTGCTAGGGCCCAACATGGTGAGGTACCTTAGAATCCTCCTGGGAAGGAAGCTTTTCTCCCTTGTCCTTCAGGCTTGTCAACACCGAATCTGGAGTCTCCTCTCCAGAGGAACTTGGCTCAGGGCCCATAGCGTCTGGCTTTCCACTCTCTCTGAGGACTGTGGATTGCCCACAGGACAAATTTCTAGAAAGAACTTTGGGGGCACTCCCTTGTTCTTCTGACAGCTTCAGTTTTAGTTCTAAAAGAAATGCAACAAGTTACATTGAGGAGGATGTACTGCCCCTCATATAGGCAGAGAACCTTCAGAAATTCCCACCCTTATGCCAAGTCTTTAGTGCTGATGATGGGTTTCCAGTGAGAAAGGGCAGTCATAGTAACAAGGACAAGCAGTACAAGATATCAATCATGTGAAAAGAGGAAGCTTTTAATGCTGGTGTCTCATGAGTAGACCATGTAAGACAGAACTCTCAATGGTTTAGATTTCAGAGGAAGCGTTCTGGAGGAAGATCTGTTATACTAGACTTATAGTCTCCACCTATAGCATTTGGAATTCTGCAGTAAGTCATTCACTTGGGTTTTGAAAATTGCTTCTGAAAATTCAAGCACTCTGGAAGGCATACATGCAGACATCTGAGGAAATACAAGGAAGATGGGAATTTTGGTCCTAACTCAACAAATTTTATAATTTTGTCTAATGACAGCTTCTAAAATACAGGATATACCATAATTTCATAGTACCTTTGAAAAAACATACACTATAGAACATTTAAAACCAACCTGGGACTTATCTAGGAATTACATTGCAGAATATGCTAGACTTGTCTTTGATTGACGCCATTTGTACTGATGGCTCAAGTATACAGTTCACTCTGTTAGTTTGATGTTTACTCTGCAGTAAGACACTGGTGTGATGTTTAAATATTGCATATTTTATGAAGCTGATACATCATTACAGGTCATTACCATTGAATTAACATACCTTCCAGTTTCTTAATCATTGTCCTCCTAGATATTTGGGGAAAATCTCAAGTTTCTTTAAGTATTTAAAGAAATATATAGTGGCTGGAACGATAGTGCAGCAGGTAGGGCTTTGCCTTGCCCAAAGCCAACCCAGGTTCGATTCCCAGCATCCCATATGGTCCCTAGAGAACCACCAGCAAATACAGGAGTAACCCCTGAGCATCGCCAGGTGTGACCCAAAAAGCCAAACTAAAATGATAAAAAGTATATAAAGATTAAAAAAGTCTTGATAATAATCCTTCAAAATGGATTTAAAAGTATTTTAATATTTACGTCACCATTCCAGAGAAAATAAAGAACACTGGATTAGAAGGCAAGAGATGTTTTATATCTAGCACATGCCATTCCAATTATGTAACCTTCACCTCTATCAGGGTATAAGTGTGTCCTCATCTGTAAAATGGGGTACATAGTGGAATTCTATTTAACCAAGAATCCAATAACTCATGGAAGTTAACACTCTTCCTAATAAAGTGTTTCAGGTATTCTGGACTCCCTCAGTCTCTTCATATTTATTAAAAGGAGCTAAACAATAAAGGGGACCCAAGTTGAGGCTTTCAATCTGTCTGGTCAAAGAGTACAGATGAAAAAGATCCAAAATACCCTGAAGTACATTTAACTACTTCCTTTGAAAAGATCTTTTGGCATTTACCTTTGAGCTGTTTACGACCTTTAGCCAAGTCATTCATCCATTTCAGAACTTCAGGATTAGAAGTTTTGTCACCATGTGAAGGCTACCAAGGGAGGAGAAAAGGAAGGTATAAGGAAGAAGGGAAGAAAGAGAAAATAGGTAAAGCGACATTTTTAAACAGTCAAAACATATTCAGGCATATATAAAACAGGAAGAGAAATCCAGGCATTAGAAACTCCAGCTGAGTGTTGCTTCAAAACTGAACCAGTAATCTTGGCCTCCACTCTTCCATCCTGATAGTTGTGACTGTTCTAAGTACATCCAACCACCCAGCATTTTCCACATAGTTCTGCCAAGGCCGTGCCCCTACAGGCTCCTCTTTAGCTTGTGGTTGGGGTAAAGAGATTAGTAAAGTGGATGAGGCCCATGCCTTGCATGTGGCTGACCTGGTTCCATCTCTGGCACTGCATATGTTCCCGTGAACACTGCTTGTTATGGTGCTAAAACAAACAAGAAAATGCAAATAGCTTGCAGACCTCTAGCACCCCAACCTGCACCCAGACCATTCTTCACATCAGTGTAGATGATTCCACTGACACAAACCAGCACTTATTTCATTGCCTGTGTTCATATTCAGGAGTTATGATCATAACCTGCCAAGGAATATTGGCAAAATTAATATAAGCTCCTCTGAATCCCATCCTTTATTCTGAAGAAAGGAACCCCAGGAATGCCCTGCCATAGGGGTGGGGTGGGATGGTGGGGCCAGGGAACAGGAGGGATGCTGGGAGCATTGGAGGTGGGGAATGGGCACTGGTGGAGGGATGGGTACTTCCTTTATAACTGAAACCCAAGCACAAAAATTTGTAAGTCTACAACTATACCTCATGGTGTTTCACTAATAAAAATTTTTTAAAAATGTAATAACAGGGAAAAAAAGACCTTAACAAAAATCTGAGGTAATCATTCTGCCAGAGGGTACCCAGATTTCTAATTCTCTCAGTGTTTATAGTCAATGTCCCACTGAATTAACATTAAAATAAAAATCATCCATGTGTCACTTTGGGTAAATTACTTAAGTCTTTGCCGCAGTCACATCCAACAATTGAGGATTATAGCAACATCATTCACACAAGGGTTGACAGGGAGAAATCATTAATACACTAAAATCAGACCCTGGCACAGACTAAGTATTTAAATATGAATATTAAAAGTTAAAAATACAGCTACCTGTTCGTCCCCAATGCTGCACCCAGTTTTTTCCCTCTTCCAGGTCAGTCAGTGAATATTCAAACCCAGGACTCCGCCTCCCCTGTGCACACACGCCAGGTGTCCTCTGGGACCCTGTGCCGTCCACCATCCCTGAGCCCCTTCCTGTTCCTTCCCAACGCTGTGCTCAGTTTTCTCCTTCACCTAGGTCAGTGAATATTCGAATCTGGGACTCTGCCTCCCCCTCCTAAACACACACACGCCCCAGGTGTCCTCTGAGACCATGGGCCACCCACCATCCCTGAGCCCCTTTTTGTTCATCCCCAGCTGCACCCGGTTTTCTCCCTCTCCCAGGTCTGTAGCCTCCCCCCCCCAAACACACACACCAGGTACCTGTAGGGGGCGTGGCCTCTGCAGAAGCAGGCGTGGCCTCTGCGGAAGTGGGCATGGCCTATTTGGAGGCCAGCAGATGCTCACATGTCTGCAGGTAAATAACCCATACCCAGCAAGCTCGTGTAACATCTCAGTCTCCATACCACCACAACATGCTGAAGAAACAATGCAAATTCCCACCACGAGGAGAGGACGATAAAAAGAGTCCAGAAGCCTCAGTAGGTGTTACTCTTAAAAAAAGGGGGGGGGTGTTACTCATATAAGGGAGCTCTCTGATAAAGAATTCAGATATGAAGTAATGAAGATGCTCAATAAACTCAAAGAAACTGTGAGACAGATATCCAGTATTAAAGGAGGACATGAAACAATCGAGAAAATCGAGGAAGAAATGAGAGCAGAAATTGGAAACCTATGCACAGAAATGTCACGAATAAAGGATTCGGTAGATGAAATAAAAAACTCAGTGTGTGCCCTCAACAAAAGAATGGGTACAACTGAAGATAGAATCAGTGAGCTGGAAGATGAGCTGCAGGAAGCCTACAGGCAACAAGAAACAATGTCAAGAGACCTCAAAATAGCTCTAGAACAAATCAGAGTCCTAGGGGATGATTCCAAGAAGAACAACATTAGAATCATTGGAGTACCAGAAGGTCAGCGAAACAGTTCCAGTGAAAAAGCCATGGTTAAAGAAATCACTGCTGAAAAGTTCCCAGAGCTGGACAATGCAGGCATCCACATTCAAGGAGCCCAAAGGGTGCCAGCTAAAAGAGACCCTAACAAAAACACTCTAAGACATCTCATAGTTAGAATGGTGGATACCATGGATAGAGACACAATACTGCAAGCAGCAAGGTCAAAGAAGGAAATCACATACAAAGGAGCACCCCTTAGATTCACAGCAGACCTATCAGAGGAAACCCTCCATGTCTAAAGGCAATGGTGGGATAAAAATTGTGAGTGAAAAAACTCACTGAAATGAATGCTTCACCATGAATACTTTATCCGGCTAAATTCTCACTCAAACTTGAAGGAATGGTACACTATTTTGTGGATAAACAACAGCTCAGGAACTTCATAGATTCAAAAACAAACCAAAAAGAATGGCTAAAGGGGCTACTGTAAGACAAGACAAACCCCTGCAAGTACAACAAACCCCATAACTATAATCTCTCTCAACATCAATGGTCTAAATTCACCAATTAATAGACACAGTGGCAAAATGGATTCAGAGACAGAACCCAACATTTGGCTGCCTACAAGAAACACATCTGAACAATCAGAACAAACACAGACTCAAAGTCAAAGGATGGAAAACAACCCTGCAAAAAAACAACCCCCTCAAAAAAGCTAAAGTAGCCTTATTAGTATCGGACAACATAGATTTCCGGTTGAATAAGATTAGAAGGCCATTTTCATTAATCAAGGGATATGTACAGCAGGAAGAAATCACAATCCTAAATGTATACATACGCACCCAATGAGGGACCAGCCAAATACCTACAACTGCTAACAGACCTTAAGAAGGACATTGCAAGCAACACAATAATAGTTGGAGACTTCAACACCGCTTTATCATCCCTGGATATATCAAGAAGATTAAAACTCAGCAAGGAAATAATGGCACTGAAAGAAGAAATAGAAGACAGAGGGCTAAAAGATCTATACAGGGCTTTATATTCCTTAAAAAAAAGAATACACACTCTTTTCCAGTGCACATGAAACATTTTTGAGACTCGACCATGTCCTGGGCCACAAAGCATACCTCAACAAAATCAGGAAGATAGACATTGTATCAACTATCTTCTTAGACCACTATGCACTGAGAATAGAAGTGAATCATGTACAGACGCAGAAAACCAAATCAAACACCTGTAAATTAAACAAGTCAGTGTTGAACAACAAGTGAGTCAGGAAAGAAATCAAGGAAGAAATCCAAAGATACCTGGAAACAAATGAGAATGAAGATACGAGCTACCAGAACCTATGGGATGCAGCTAAAGCCGTGTTAAGGGGAAAATTTATAGCTCTGCAAGCATTTCTCAGGAAGGATAAAAGGGTCCACATAAACAACTTGACTTCACAGCTCAAGATCTTAGAAAAGGACCAACAAAAGGAGCCCATACAAGGCAGAAGGAAAAAGATAATAAAACTTAGAGCAGAAATCAATGGCATGGAAACCCCCCCCCCCCAAAAAAAAAAAAACAATCTGAAAGATCAATAAAACCAAGAGCTGGTTCTTCACTGCTGGTGGGAATGCCAATCTGTTCAGCCCTTTTGGAAAGCATATGGATGATTCTCAAAAAATTAGAAATTGAGCTCCCATTTGACCCAGCAATACCATTCCTCAGGCTATATGGTGGAGAGGCAAAAAAATACAGTCAAAGTGACATCTGCACTTCTATGTTCATTGCTGCACTGTTCACGATAGCCAAAATTTGGAAAAAACCTGAGTGCCCGAGAATAGATGACTGGTTAAAGAAACTTTGGTACATCTACACAATGGAATTCTATGCAGCTATTCGAAAAGATGAAGTTTTGAAATTTACATACAAGTGTTCTACATGGAAAGTATCATGCTAATTGAAATGAGCCAGAAAGAGAGGGACAGACAGAAAGACTGCACTCATCTGGGGAACATAAAGTAACAGAATGGGAGTCAATCACCCAAGAATAGTTCAGATAAGTACCAGGAGGTCTGATCCATGGCTTGGAAGCTGGCAGCATATGCTGGGGTTAAAGGCAGCTTAGATAGAGAAGGGAACCCAAGTAAAGGATGTTTGGAGGACTCGCTCAGTATGTGAGATGCATGCTGAAAGTAGACTATAGACCAAACATGATGGCTATTCAATATCTCTATTGCAAACTACAACACCCTAAAGGAAAGAGAGAGAAAAAGGGAATGCCCTGCCACAGAGGCGGGGTGGGGTGAGGGGAATGGGATGGGGGGTTGGGAGGGCTACTGGGATCATTGGTGGTGGAGAATGGGCAATGGCTGAAGGATGGGTACTCAATCATTGTATAACTGAAACCGAAACCCGAAAGTTTGTAAGTCTACAACTGTACCTCATGGTTTTTCACTAGTAAAAGAAAAAAAGTTAAAAATACAAATATTATTAATGATATTACTTACTGGCAGTGGTGGTAGTAGTGTTACTACCAACCTTCAAAGATGCTTTATATTCAGTGACAAACCTGTGCAGGAGCACGTATGTCCTACCCAGTAACTAGTCTCACACTTAAATATCTCAAGAAATTTTTAAAAATTTAGAAAGTCATGATTATATTAATAAAATAATTTACCTAGATTTGTTTCCTCTCAGAGGATAAAAGTGGATTTCTACCTACAGGACAAAGAAACTAAAGAGGAGCCAAATGTACTTAGCCTCAACCTCCATCAGTCAGCAACTTAAGTTGTTAGCACCCTGGAAACTTAAATAAATGCAGACTCTAGAAGATCAACAGGCTCTTTGAATAGAGGATGGGCAAGTGACAATAGGAGTC